TTGAGGGCTCCAAGTATGCATATTTTGGATCATCTTTGCTTTCTTTCTGTAGCTATCACTTTCTCTAGTGTTTTTTTCTATTTTTCTTTTGTGCTCTTATAACTTTCATTTTTCTTTTACTTTTTTTTAAAAAAAAGATTTATTTATTTTCAGAGAGAGGAGAAGGGAAGGAGAGAGATTGATGTGCGAGAGAAACACCAATCGGCTGCCTCTTGCACTCTCCGAACTGGAGACCTGCCCCACAACCCAGACATGTGCCCTGATTAGGAATCTTAACCCTTGACCAAATTTTGGTTCACAGGCCAGGCGTTCAGTCCACTGAGCCATACCAGCCAGAGCTTTTTCCTTTCACTTCTGTCCAAATTCTGTCAACTCATGTTTTATTTCTCTTTGTCTTTAAGTTGCTGATACAAGTCTTAATACACTTGATTATTTTACTGAGTTTTTAAGATATCTGAATCTTTTTTATTAAGTCACTAAATACCTGGTGGGTCTTTCTAATTTGTAAACATGTCTTTTATTCCTTGGAAATTTTCTTGTTTCTTTGATTAATTCCTCTGTGTGTGTGTGTGTGTGTGTGTGTATTTTATTCTGACTTAAAAACTTGTTATTTCTTATACATATTTGTCATTTTAGGAGATGATATTTTTACTTTTAACCCTTCTGTTGGTTTTTTTTCTATCTTGTTTTTAGTTTTTAAGACATTTTGCTATTTGTTTTTGCTTTTATTTACTGATTAGAGCTTTTTAAAAATGACATTTCTTTTCTCCAAGGCTCAAAGTATTTTTATTTTTGTCAAGATACAGGTTTCTTTTTTTATTTTTAACATGTTTTCTTCACAGCACATTGGCCCTATTTCCTCTGTTTCTTTGCCTTGTATTTTTGGAGCCTTTCTTTCTCCCAGGTTTGTGAAGCAATAGAAAAATATGATTATATGGTGGTTGTATGTGTGTGAAGTTTGTCTCCTGGTGGGAGTCGCCACTGAATTCCCAGATGGAAAGCTGTCTTGTCACTGTGGGGGTCTAGCTATCAGTATATTGTCTCTGGAGCTGATCACAGTTCCTGCAGAAAAGAATCTTCTGGTCTCTTTCTGTATGGATAAGCCTAGTTTCTGGGACTTGGATCCTGGCATTCTGGACGCAGATGAGGATCCCACCAGTCACGTTTGCATTTAACCCCACATAGTATTTCCGAGTCTGATGTCTTTATGGCTCATATTCTTTAACCATACATTGTTGTATCTTGAAGGATGGGAATAGCAGTAGGCAACAGGATGTCAGATTGGCTTGTGGAATTAAAACCTGTCCTCTTCCCATCCTCATTCCATCTTGTGCCTCCATCTAAGGCTCAGAATAGAACCTTTCTGAGCTTCTGTTTGTCAGTCAGCTCAATTCTTCACACTTTCCTTCTACAAGCACCCTGGTTGTCTATTCTTTCCCTCTCCCTTGTGGGTTACAACTCATGCAAATGCTTTAAAAATTACACGTGTGTTAATCTCGTTTCTTTCTCATGTTCTCTTATGTCCTTGCAGATTTGTATCATATTTATTCCTTCTCTGTGTTTTTAGGAGTTAAAGGAAATGATATATAGTGGCCAATTTACCATTTTTAACTGGAAGTCAAAAGCAGGTTCTTTGAAAAGATTGATGAAATTGGTCTTTGATGTACCCGATTAAGGAAAAAATGAGAAAGTGCAGATACACATTGACAATGTGAAAGGAGATATAAGAAAAATATATAAGAGAACATTAGCCACATGCCAAGGTTGAGGGTTTGATCCCCACTCAGGATACATACAAGAATCAACCAGTGAATGTATAAATAAGTGGAACAGCAAATCAATGTCTGTCTGTCTGTCTGTCTGTCTCTTCTCCTCCTCCCTCTCCCTTCCTCTCTCTCTAAAATCAATAAACAAATACAAATAAGAGAATGTTAACTGTGACTTTATGATAATCAATTTGAAACTCCATGACAGAAGTTGACAGGCTTCCTGCAAGGCAGATCTGGCCTGAAACTTGTTCTGATAAATAAAGTGTTATTGGAATACAGCCATGCTCACTGGTTTACATATTATCTAAGTCTCTTCTGCACTGCAGTGGCAGAGTTGAGCAGTTGTGACGGAATCATTATGGCCCACAAAGCCTGAAGTATTTACTATATAGCCTCTTACAGAAAGAGTTTGCGCATTTCTGCTCTAGAAGAGATTATTTCCTAGAGAAAAAGAGACTGCAAGCGACCACAAAAGTGCTGTACTAGATAACCATTTAAGAGATTGAAAAGGTTATTAGTGATCTTAATAAGGCTCCAGCCAGACAGCTGAGTTATGAGTTCACTACTCTTTGAAGGACAGGTAATTTCCTTCTTGTTTAGATTATTTCAGACTATAGAAAAAGGTGGAAAAGTCTCCTAATGACATTATTAAACTATTTATGTAGTCATCTTTTAAAAAAACCTTGCTCTTAGAAGTTATTGGTACTGCAATTTTTAAAATAGTTTGTGTTGTTAATGCAGTGATAATTGCTGTGGTACCATAGCTTCCAATGACCAGACACACTGCGGTCTCAATGAGCAGGAGCAGCATTTGTCTGACAGTTAATTGATCCCCTTGACTGCATGGCTCCCTACTCAGTGTCATCTTTATACTATTTGTGGATATTTACATTAGCCCCATTTCTGTGTTGTAGTACCACGCTCATTACTAGGAAAACTTGAGAGGGTGGAGAGAGAGAGGAAGAGAGAGAGAGAGAGAGAGAGAGAGAGTGAGAGTGTGTATTTGTATACGTACATGTACACCTCTTAATCTTAGCCTGCCAGGCCTGAAAGGACAAATACAGTCTTTTCATTTCTGTTTATCAAAACAGTAGAATCATTAGAATAGTATTGCTTATAATAGTATTGTAACAGGTTGTACTAATCTAATTGTAGTGTTACTGCACTTTCAGATATTTCTTTCTTTTACTTCGTGAGCAGTAACACTCCCTGCTTGGAGACTGTAGGTAATGTGATGGTGTTGAATTGTCCCTTGTATAGCAAGTCTAATATGATATAGTTGTATCATGTCAGCAAAATGACCAACTGAGTTTAGGGATTTCTAAATCAGGCTCAGTGATTTGCTGGGACTCAATTCAGAAAAGCTGTTACACTCATAGTTATAGCGTATTTCACAGAAAGGATTCAGATTAAAATAACTGGAAAAAGGTACCCAGGGAAGGGCCCAGGAGACACCAGCACAAGCTTTCAGTTGTCCTCTTCTGGTGGAGTTGTGTGGATAGTGCCTGGTTTTCCCCAAACAATGTGCGACAGCACTCAAGGAGTGTTGCCAGCCAGGGAAGCTCACTGGGGCCCTGGTATCTGGGGTTTTACTGCGGATCAGCCCTGTGGGTATGGCCGACCACTGTGTGGCTGACCTCAGTGTCCTTGTGCCTCCAGAGGTCAAACTGATACCATGTAGCCCGAGGCCACCACCATAGATCGCATTGTTAGCATAAACTATGTTTGGGGCAATCCAAGGCTCCAGGTAAACAAACACTCTCTTAAGAAGCAGGATGTTCCTAGAGATCAGAGATTATCTTCTAGGTGCCAGGCAAGGCCAAACCTTTCTCCGAAATGAACAGCGTTTGGACGTGCCAGACCTGCAGAATTCTTTATTGCACATCACATATATCAAATTCCTTATACCTGTGTACTTTTTCTATTAATAAACTCTTAAGAGATACACCTAATCCATTTTAATCTACTCAACACTATGAATCTCCCGTTATCCATTTTCTGAATGAAAGAAAAAGTTCTCCCAGAAAGATCATATTCAAGTCACTTTTGGAGTAGCTCTATCAAAGCTTACATCAGACATTCACCTTTAGGCTTCAGAGGGTGAGCCTGAATTGCATCACTTCTTTTGCTCCAGGGTGTTTGGCCCCTAAATTCCCGTTACCAGGTGCATGGGAAATCGAGTAATAAACACGTGGAGTCAGAATCTCTTTGTGGACCAGATCCATCTGATAAGAGGGCACAAATTGGGCTAGATACGATCAAGGGCCAGAATATTATTATCTTTATCTGGGAATGAGACTATAACTTAAAGTGGTCTTTGTGAAGATTTTGGCTCAGAAAGCATGCAACACCTAACATTTAAAAACAAAAAAATCTTTAGCCCTGGCAGGTGTGGCTCAGTGGATTGAGCACTGGCCTGTGAACCAAAGGGTCGCAGGGTTCGATTCCCAGTCAGGGCACATACCTGGGTTGCAGGCGAGGTCCTCAGTAGGGGGCGTGTGAGATGTAACTGCACATTGATGTTTCTCTCCCTCTCTTTCTCCCTCCCTTTCCCTCTCTCTAGAAATAAATAAAAATCTAAAAAAAATTAAAATCTTTAGTAGTGGTTGAAGGAAAAAAGAAAGAAAATTGCCCCCCTAAACTATAAATGCATTTTTAATCTTGTTTTAGGTAAAATGTGAGGTCACAAATTTGTATCCTTTTGAAGTTTGCTCTTTTCACTTACCATTGTGTCTGAGCAGCAAGCAGTGTCTTGGTAGAGGAATTTAGGACTCTATATTTAGGCATGAAGTTCTTTCTCCTTGCAGGGATGGGGTGGGGTGGGAGTGGTAGATTAGTGCTTTCTGTTTGAAAGTGGCTAGTATTTTATTTTATTTCTTTATTCTGGCACCACCCAAGGACTGCCCAAGCCAGGGTATTACTTTGTGATCTCAACCTGGGAGCACCTTCTGCATGCAGGTGGTCCCCAGGCTTGGAGAAAATCTTTGAGCAAGCTGAGTGCTCTTGGAGATGAGTTGATGGCAGCAGATACTAGACCCTCAAACTCTGAAGATTGGAGTGGCCCACTGAGCCAATGTGCTTGAGCATTGTGTCAAAGGTAGCCAAGGCTTAATTTTCTGGAAAAGTAGCAGCCACTTTTTAAAGTTGTTTTTCAGTAAAGAACCTGTACTGAGCAGAGCTAACTTTAGTTTTTGTCTTATTAAACAACTCCTTTGTCCCTCTTGCTCACAGAGCTCTCTGGCCGAGACGTTGGATAGCACTGGCAGTCTAGACCCCCAGAGATCAGACATGATTTACACCATAGAAGATGTTCCTCCCTGGTACCTGTGCATATTTCTGGGGCTGCAGGTAAGATGATTCCTTTAGGATGTAACCACCGGCAGATGCTCCTATTCTCTGGATGTTTTTTAAATGCAGTTTTGATTTTTATTTATTGATGTCTTTATTGTAAATTACTCTTCTAAGAATGATGAATGGAAATTGTCAACATCAATTTCATTAATAGTGAAAGGAAGAAAAGAACAGAATGAGTAAATTAACCAGGGAATGAAGGAAGGAAAATATTCAGGGAATACGCAAAAGAAGTGACATGGAAGGAAGGACAAAAGATTGTAGAGCTATGGAAAGAAGGAAGAATAGAGAGAGGAGAAAAGTAAAAGAGTAGAGAAAGGAAGAACTAGTTTTCATCTCATTCGTGGCTTAGTGAACCAATCTATAATCATAGTCAGCTCTGTCATGAAATATGGGTGACACTGAGAAATGCCTTGTTGGCCAAGACATAAATGGCAGGTTTCAGTCTTATTTTTAAAGGAAGGCAGACTTTGCCATAGTAACAGTGGCTTTGTCTGCTGCATTTTCCGGTTGGAGCAGAGTGGGGAAGCTGCCAGGGGAGGGGAATGGGGCTGGGCTGGGGGGCTGGGCTGGGGGGCTGGGCTGGGGGGCTGGGGGGGAAGCCACACAGGGTGACAAGCCTTCGCGGGGCTCTTACATCTCTGGTACTTTCCCCCATCCCTCAGCACCTTTCTCCCACTAAATGACTGAAGTGGGGCTTTAGGAGAAAGGGGACACGACGGGAAGCTGCTTTCCTGGACCCCACATTGCTGGCCTGTGTTTTTCTTGGTTGTTTTAGCCTGGACTCTGTTCTCAGATCCGACTTTTCATTCTTCCTTTTTTAAGTTTGGAGGATCAATTCAATCCTGGGGTATATCAGATGCCGAGAAAGTCAGTCTCATTGCCCAGACAAGTTTATTCACTTGGAGGTGAGACTGTACCTGCCCTGACAGCTGATGCTTTGGTCCAGATTTCCAAACCTTGCCTTTGCCCCACTGGCCTGAATAATGTATCAGTACTTGGCATCCTGGACTGAACGGTGTCTAATAAAGGAGGAGTCACAACCAAAGGAGCTGACAGATAATTTTCCTTGGGTTGAACATTCTGAAACAGATTCAGGAAGCTAAACTTTTTGAAATGTTCATATTATAGATGTTTCTAGAAGAAGTCTTCTTTGGGCAAATGGGATTGGGAAACCCTGCACACATTATGCCCTTCTTGGCAATACAGTCTTCTTAAGCTTGTGAGCAGCTCTGAAATGTTCTGGATGATGATTTTCTGTTTCCTGCACAAAACACCTATTAGTGTTGTAAAAGTTGGGCTTTATGGACTGCAAGCAGCACATTTTGGGAAACAGGGGGCAAAGAAGAGGAAGTATTGGGAAGAAAACCAGGGCTTGCAGAACAGAAGTGGGTACCAAACAAGCAAGCCTCTGAGAGGACAGGAAGTGAGCAGTGGATGCTGGGAATGTCCTACTGGGGCTGCAAAGAATGCAGGTGGAGGCCCCCAAGGGAAGAATGGGGTGGGCTTTTCCGGAGCATTCCTACAGCTCCTTTATGCCCTTAATCCTTCCCTGATTGTTGTCAAAAAATGCCAGCCTGTAGAAAATAGTGGAAAACACCCTGTTCGATGAAACTTGTGTTAAGTTTAATCTTCAGACCTGAGAGAATTCTTTTGAAAAAGTTGACTGGCCCTGGCCGGGCAGCTCAATTGGTTAGAGTATTGTCCCTATACGCCAAGGTTGCAGGTTTGACCCCCGTTCAGGGCACATACAAGAATTAACCAATGAATGCATAAATAAGCGGAACAACAGGTTGATGTTTCTCTCTCTCAAAATCAGTTTACAAAAAAGAATACAGATGTAAAGTCTTACATAAAATGTTGGCAAATCAAATTGTGGAAAAGAAAGATACAGCAAGACTAGAGTTTGTTTCAAGAATGGTACAGTACAAAATAATTTATGTTAACGGATCAGAGGAACAGGACCTATGATTTTAGCAATTGATGCTGAAAAGGAACAATATAGGTAATGGAGTAGCCAAAGAACTTACATGTATGACCCATGGATATGAACTAAGAGGGGTCTTGCCAGAGGGAATGGGGGGGTGCCAGGTGGAGGGGGCCACAAGGAGAAAATTGGGACAGCTGTGATAGCATAATCAATACAAAATACTTAAAAAACATAAGTGGATGATCCCAGTAAGAATTGTATAAGTAATATATCACCAGTGCTTATATTAAGTACTTCCTTTATGCTGGCCTAGATTCATGTGAGTATTAAGTAATAACACAAGCGAGTAATAAGACAAGTAAATGTAATGGAAAGGAGAAATGCTGAAAAAGAATATGATTTGGTATGTGATACAAGTGTGTACTTAAAACAAAGAGTATTTTTCATGTTAGCTATTTTTTTAAAACAATGGAGGAGTGAGTTAGGATGAAATCAGAAAAAATGCGCGGAAGGTTAACTCCTTCCCCTTGTGTCTCCCTGTCACACACAGCACTACCTGACTTGCTTCAGTGGTACGATCGCAGTGCCCTTCCTGCTGGCCGATGCCATGTGTGTGGGGTATGACCAGTGGGCCACCAGCCAGCTCATTGGGACCATTTTCTTTTGTGTGGGAATCACAACTTTGCTGCAGACAACGTTTGGATGCAGGTGAGACTGGGGTACTAAATGTGGATGCTGAAGCCCCTGTGAGGAAGGCATTGAACAATTTACCTAGGGCTGCTTGGAAGGACGGACAGGGCCAGGCGTGGGGATGGAGCAGGGGATTGTTCTAGTGAGCCTTGACCTCACCCAACCCCCACCATGTTTCTTTTCTTCTTTTGGTGGATGGCACCATCTCCCACCCAACTGTGCAGGCTGGAAAGTCTTAACTTTTAGCTCCTTCCATTCCTCCAGCCACAGGGCAAGCTCACTCTCCAGTACACACTCCTGTCCACATTCCTTTAGTTCAGACCTGGATTGTTCCACTAGGTTCCTAGTTGGTTTCCTTGCCTGCAGGGCCGCTCTCCTTTCCCACTCCGCACCTTCCCCCAGTGCTATCTTTCCAACATTGGCACCTTCCTTGGAGCTGCCAGGCTGCAGCCCTGCTCCCTGTTTAAAACCAGAAGTTCCCACTTTTTAAGCTTCTCTGTTGCTCTCTGTGCCACTGCCCTTCCATCCCCGCCTCTGACCCCTGCTGTCCCCTTCCCAGCACTCACCCTGGGGTGGGCTGCTGCCCAAGCAGCCCTGCTGTGTCACCCTCCTATGCTTGTGCTCCCCAGCAACCCCGCACACCCTGCTCATCCTGCCCGCCTGCCTTGTCCCTCCCCCTTTGGGAAGCATCGCCGTTGCCTTTGTTCTCTCTGAGTTCCCACTCATGCATCTTGTGTACATTATTCTAATGTGGCTCCTATTTTACGGTGTCCTTTTTTTGTTTTTGTGTCCTTTCCCACTGGATTGTGCTCCCCTCCTTGATGCCAGGGCTCTGACTTGTCATCTTTGCATCTCTGCCCCCACTTGAGGTGGGTGAGAAGCTGGCAGAGGAGGGAAGAAAGCCTATCTTTCCTGCCTCCTCCTGCAGGCTTGCTTTGTTTTCTCCTGTCCCCTCTTCCACTGTCTTCCTACTGCAGCCTCTTCCTGTACCCCAGGGCTCTGCATATAGGCCTGTCCTCAGGGGTGGGGCCGCTGAGTAAGCTTACAAGTTCTAGTTCTGTCTCTTGCATCAGGAGAGATAATCTGTGAAAGGGCTTTGCCCTGCCTGCTCAGGGATCAAATAAATAGATAAAGTGATTGGGAAAGAGGGATCGTTAGGGTGGGACAGTGCAGGAAGGAAGTGCCGACGTAGCCAAAAGTAGTATTTATTCCACATACCACAGCCATAGCGTGGCAGATGGCCTGTGCATTTGTTTTATGGTTTGAGGGCAGGGCAGTTCAGCATTTAGGCTTAAAGCAGCAGAAGAAAAAGCTTTTCATATTCAGCTTTCATGATTTCTGAGATGGATTTTCAGACTTTTCCAACTCTAGGTGGTTTATAGAATTGTGTGTGAGTTCTATATGCCTTTTTGTGTATTTACTGGCCACCGGCTAACTACTTTACGCTCCATTCCACTGGGACCTAAAAACCAACCGTGGTCTGTGCTGGTGAGGAGGGGGCCCTTTTTTTGAGGAAGCTGAGTCAGCTGCAGGTCTAGCTCAAAGGAAGAAAGTGTAGGCATCCTCACCTGTGGGGAGAGGCTAGGCCATCACCTGTCCTCATTTCACATGGGCACCTTGCTGTTCCTGGACACTTGTTTAATTCCATAAAAATAATCAGAATTGATAGGGAAACAGTGAAGGGGTCTTATGCCGCTGCAGACATGGGCATGAACTCACACTACCAGCTGTGAGATGTCGCCATGGGACAGCTGCTCCTTTGGAAGCACGTTTCCCACGGGCTGGGCTGAGGCCACACACAGCGTGTCTGGTGCAGCCTGGACTGCAGACCCTCTTCCTTTCCTGCACATCTGCCCTGGCACCAGAGTGGCTCCTTTCCTCTGCAGACTATGCCTGCTTTGAAATGGAGGTTGTGGGCCCCGGCCCCAGCCGTGCGACTTCCGTGGCGTTAGCGCTTCCCAGAGCTGCTGTCCGCAGCTGGGTGGGCGATCCGTGCCATGCCTGCTTCTTTCCCCTTCTGTTCCCCTCCCTTTCCTTTCTTCTTCCCTTTAACCTTGATCTCTTGCACTTTGCTGTCAACTTTGTCTTCACTGAGTTTCCTTGAGTGAGGTTTGAACGTTCCCATTTCCATTGGATTTGTGATGCCAGTCCCAGCCACCCTTTGGGCTTTTTCCAGGAATTAGTACAAAGCCTTGAAAATCCCGAGAGATCAGGGCAGGGGTGTTAGCCAGCTTGCAGCGCTCTCGCCTCTCTGGCTGTGGGGAGGATTCAGCCGCTGTTTCACCTTGGCTGCCTCTGCCTTTCCCAACAGAGCAGCTCCCAGTTTCCCAGTGCCCCCCACCCCACCCTGTCAACCCTGGGTGTCAGTGCAGAGCTGGGGATGAGAGAGAGCCCTCCGGCACCCGCTCCTTGCCTGCCGAGCTGACCTTCGCTGGCCTTCCCTGAGGTGTGGCAGGCTCTGCGTTGGGGGTCGCCTCCAGCCTTCTGCTTCAGGTGCCTCTTGGAGGCATCACCCTGAGCTCTCCAGCAAAAGACAAAGCTGTAGGTGGGGTGGCCATCACAAGCCCATTGTAGATGCATAGAATCTTTCTTTGCTGAGTAAAGGTAGGGTTTTGGCTGAAAGTATCATTGTAGCTGGTGATGTTACCTGCCCTGAGGCGACAGCTTTCCTGTCTTCCATCCCCTTGGGTTCTGTGGGCCTGTATGGGTTGTGTGCTCACTGAGTTCAGGGACCACTGCAGGATACTTCAAGGTCTCAAGTGCAGGCTTTTAACTCAACTATTGACAAAGTTTAGAAGGACTGAGGGGCACGATGCTTAGATTGAGATGGGGAGACAGGTTTCCTCCACATTCTCTTTCTTTATATGTAATTTTTGTGGGGTGTATGTGCATTTTTTTTTTGAAAGACTTGAAAGTGAAGTTGCAGACATCATGCTGGTTTACCCCTAAAAATCTCCTAAGAATGAGCGTTTCCTATGTAACTATTTACAACAGTCACTTACCATATTATCTAATATACAGTCCATGTTTAATTTCCTAAGTTGTCCTTAAAATACCTTTTATGGGTAGTCCCTCCACCTCCCTGAACCAATATCCAGTCAAGTTCATGTGGTGCATTTGTTTGTTGCGTCTCTCTGGTGTCACTAAACAGCCCCCACTTTTCCCTCCATATCACCCCCTTTTAGAGAGTCCAGTTGCCTGTTGAGTACTCTGTGGTCTGAATCAGTCTGATTGTGTCTTCATGGTGGTATTTGATTTGTGCTACAACCCTTCCTCCCTTATTTGTCCTAAACTGTTAGATAGGGCTAGAGGAATGGTTGATTCAGGGTGAAAATTTTGCAAGAATTACTGTATAGGTGACTTGACATTCTGTCATGTCAAGCTGGCACATAGGAGCAAGTCATGGGGTTTTCCCACCAAAATAAAAAAAATTGCTGTTCATTTAACTTAAATTTTTAGATAGTACACAGTAGAACAAGAGTAGGTTTACAGTTGTGAGTACAAGAAACAAAGTTTATTCTGACATTATTTATTAATTATTGTATATTCCATATGAACAACTGTAACCCTGTTTTGACTCCACCCTGTATATTAAATGGGGGCCAGTGGGAACCTGGAAGTAACGACCCTGGAGGAGGGGGCTTTGCCTCACTCCCCTCACCTGCTGTGTTGGGGGCGGGGGCACTTTGACTGTGGAAGTGGCATTGTTATCGTTCCACCATTTTCATATGACTTCGGGCGAGCGACCTGATCTTTCAGAGGCTCCTTCTGATTCATCCTGGGCGCTTGTCTGCACTCGCCTGTGGCTGCTCATTATTTTAGTAAGCCTCCAAGGGGGAAGCAGAGGGGTTGCAGTGGGCTGGGGCTGGGACACCTTGGGGAGCAGCTGGACTTGGATGAGCATGGCAGGTGGTTGGATGTGCTCCATGGCCACACAGCCATCAGCTTTGCTACTTCAACCCTAGCTTTCCTGGGTGGTCTTTCCCTTTCTGTTAACACAGTTTCTCTGTTAATATTTCTGATGCTTCTGGGACTAGGAGGCTGGCTGAGTCTTTGGAGTATATGTGGGTTAATGAATTTAGTTCTTTTTTAAAATTTTTAAAAAATTTTATTTTTATTCATTCACACTGGACAGCTATTGTTGTGTTGGCTTTTGTCTTTATTTATATTTTTTAAATTTATTTTTAGAGAGGGGAAGGGAGGGAGAAAGAGAGGGAGAGAAACATCAATGTGTGGTTACATCTCACACGCCGCCTACTGGGGGCCTGGTCTGCAACCCAGGCATGTGCCCTGACTGGGAATCGAACTGGTGACCCTTTGGTTCGCAGGCTGGCGTTCAATCCACTGAGCCACACCAGCCAGGGGTGAATTTAGTTCTTTACAGTCTTCTTTCTTTGACCGTCACATCTCATCCCGCACATTCCCACAGCTCTGAATGGCTCTTTTTTCTCCTCATGGCCTGTTGCCTCTCCCCTCTTAGCCTTCCTTGTCAGCCAGGTGACTGTTGTGGCAAAAGCTGTGCAGGGATAGGCCTAGAGGACAGAGCTTCTCACCAAATACCAGGGGGAAAGTCTTTCCTAAATTTTGTGGGTTTAAAAAAAAAAAAACCCATTTAATATAACTCAGTATTTAAGGAATGTGTTGTCATCCTCCTCCCATTTCCATTCCCAGAAAGACACTTAACTTTATAGACATAATTTAAATCATATCTATTGAGGGGTAATTGACATACAATAAAATCTACCCCTTTTTACATGAGTTTTTACCCATGTGTTCAGCCATCCAACCACCACCAACAGAACATTGCCACACCCCTAGGAGTTCTTTCATGCCTCTCTGTGACTGATTAGATCTTTATGTAATAAAAGTACTTTAGTCTACCGGCCCTTGACCTGAAATAGTGATGCTATCATGTTGGAAAAGGAGTTATCGGAATCCTGCCCAGCTAGCCCTCCGGAGTTCCTGTGCAGCTGTCTGGACAAAGCCTGTTGCTGTGAGCTATGGCTCTGGAGGGGCCCGCCGCCAGCCGCCAGCCGGCTGCCTCCTTCCCGCCCAGGTTCCCTAGGGATCATTCTAATTGAGAGTGCTGACCAGAATAGGTCATATAACTTTTAGAATTTATCTGTAAAACAGGGATAACGTGAACTTGAAGATAATGGTTACACTTGCTTTTAGCTGAGTTTTCTTTGAATCAACCCAAAATGAATTAGAGACCCAAATGCAAAAATCATGAAAACTCTGTAAGTACTAGAATGAAATGAGTGAATTTCCTTTCTAATTAGAATGAGGTTTTAAACTTTTAAAAAAATTGTTTATTTACTTTTTTATTTTTAGAGAGGGAGAGAAACATTGATCAGTTGCCTCTTGTATGTGTATGCCCCCCAGCTGGGGACCAAACCTGCAACCCAGGCCTGTGCCCTGACCTGGAATTGACCCATCGACCTTTTGGTTTGTGGGGTGACACCCAACCCACTGAGCTATACTAGTCAGGGCAAATTTTAAACTTTTAAACTAGTACTCAAACTCTAGGAACAATTAAAGGATGGTCAATGTAATGACATTAAATGTAAGAACACTTTTTAAAACTTTGCAATGTGAAAATACTCCATAAACAAACAAAAATGGCGGACTAGCCAGTTACGTTCTTTGCTCTCCTGGCGTTCGAGGCCCCCGTGGGACTGTATCATGACAAAGGTGCTTATCTGCTCAGAATTCTTCTTACTAACATCTAGTGACACTATTAACTTTAAAAACTTTCATTTGCAAAAATCCACCACCTCGTCACATTTTTAAGATATACTATCTCGTAGTAGACAAAGATGTTTAACTTTCTGTAGAGTGACAAGCAGTAAATATTTTAGGCTCTGTGCTCTCTGTTATGAGTGGCTGACTATCCCATTACAACTTAAAAACAGCTGTCAACACCTCGTAAACAGATGAGGGTGGCTGTGTCCCAGTAAATCTTTACTCATAAAAACAGGTAATTTGCTAGACTTGGCTCATTCATGGGCCTGTTTGCCAACCCCTGGTATAAAGAAGGGCAAAGTTTAATTTGTTTCCTCTCCACTTGTCGGTACAAAATAAAAGAGCTGGCAGTCTTGTCTGCCTGGGGAGCCTGGGGACCTGAGGTTTAGGTACTCATGTGAGTGAGGTTCAGAGAGAAGAGCCCTAGTACTGACGAGCATTACACTGGGGAAGCGCCTGAAAAAGCCACTTTATCAGATGAGAATACCAAGTGCTTTATCATGTTTAGTCTTTCTCGTGGAAAATTGGCTTGGTTGCTTGTTTAGGGAACCTCTGGTTTAATGAAGTCACTTGCTCTTGTTGCAACTTTGCCTAAGGATAATTCAGTCATCCTGCTGACTTTTGCCTCCAGTAATAGAGACCACACTTAACTGCTGAGGTACTGACCGCTGCTTCCTGTAAAGCGGCTGCTTATCTTTCAGACAGTGCTGCCCGTGGCAGGCGGTATGTGCCTGGACACAGAACATGTAAGCCAGCATGTGCAGCTTTTCCCATTCCCCTTGGGAGACTGGGGCAGCACAGGTGGGAATTTTCTGTTGTCACCCACTTCTCAAAGGAACCCCAGGTCCTGGTTGTTTGAAAGTAAAGTGAGCTGCCTTGCATCAGGGCTCTCAGGGCCTCTGGTAGGGGTGAAGCCATAATATTCTTGTCCTGAAAGGTGTCCCAGCAGTGGTCAAGTGCAGACTGAGTTTGAGTATCGTTCATGTCCCCTGGAGTAGAGCCCAGAGCCAGTCTTCACTGTCCCACATCCATTGTGTCACCCAGGCAGTGTTATCCATAGTGTTCCCAAGGATGAGATCTCTAAGTACAGTCCATGTTGCATTGTCTGAGGATCTATTGCTTGAAATATGAAACAAGAGCAAAACAGATGCTGTTCGGCCCTTTGACATGGCATCCATTTCTAACTAAATGCTGATCCCCTTTTTATCCATTCTGTACATTTCTGAAATATTGTGCTTAAGAAATTGGTCTAAATCAAACAGCGTTTTCCCCTTCGATATACTACATTCCCACGTCAGGTGACCTTCACTTTTGACAGTGTTTCGCTCTGGGTCTGCCCCTCCCCACCCCCGTCCCCCTGCCCAACAGGTAATTCTAATCACAAATGGATGGTTGGTGGAGGGCATGCCCGCGTGACCAGTGGCACACCTGGTCTATACAGTGCCGCTTGCAACTGTGCCTTAAAGCCATCAGCCTGCCTACTCTTAGCTGATTTCATTGCACGATTAAAATAGCCAAGAAAACAAGGAATCTCGACTCTTATCTGGCTCAGAATGATGTATGCCGACTCTGCACTTCTAAAGCAGCTGGATATCCTTCAGCCAGAGCCACTCTGTTTCTCAGCCCAGTTGCTGTTTCAGTCAGGGCAGGGCATGCCCTCCGCTTGGGGAGGGCGTGCTGAGGTCCCGACCCACTGGCCAGGGCACTCATGCAAAGCTGGCTGCTTCATGATATTTAAGAAGGATCTGGACATCTGGGAGTTCCCAGCCCCTGCAAACAGGAGCCGATTTTATATTTTACCCTGAAACTATATTAAAAATAGGGATAAAGTTCTTGTGTTAACCCATAAAGCCATCTTAATACAACTGTAGCTGAAATGTTTTACAAATGTAAACATTTACAAAATGTTTTACAGTGGCAACATTGAATTTGAGTCGCTCAAGTGTTCCATGAAGTTAATAGGAAGTATCTAAAATATAGTTGAATGATGGCATCTAAATATCTCTGCATTTAGTTGGAGATTTGTGGGCAGGAGATTTTATGGAGAATCTGCAAGTTTTCTGGGACCTTTAAAAATAAGGTTTAGAATACTTGAGTCTTTATGATTAAGGAGAATATTATATCACTGTTGATTTGTAACTTACAGCTTTCCTTTTTCTCAATAGATCTAGATCACTAATGTGATTTTAATGCTTATCCTCTGTGATTTAGGGCAGTTTTGATGTATAAAATGGAACAATAGAGGACGATACATTTTTTCCCCGTGATAACTGATAAGAATTTGAAATGGAGGAGGAGAAGGTGGGTGGTGAATTGGAAGACATAGACTGATGTTTAATGAGGAACTTAGAAGCTCAGCAGGAAAGGGAGGCTCCCAAATGCCCAATATCCCCAAGGGGAAAAAGGTGGTGATTGTCAGGGACATGTGCTGGTGCTAATTACAGGGCTACCCCGGGGCCCATCCTAAGGCTGTCTGGGGGAAGAGCAGCAGGAGGGGAGGACAGAGAAGCCAGAGGCCCTGGCTGCTAGCAGAGATCTTTGCAGACCAGGGTTCTTTCTTCCAGGTGGGCCTGCGTTTACTCATATGCTGTTTGTCTATGGAAAGACTGTTAAGCTGTCAAATAGTGAACTACCTCGGTAGTTCCTGATGCCGTGATCATGGTTTTGGTCTCGTTTCTTTTAGGTTACCCCTGTTTCAGGCCAGTGCTTTTGCATTTCTGGCCCCTGCTCGAGCCATCCTGTCTTTAGATAAATGGAAATGTAACACAACAGGTAATTGCAGTTATTTCCACATATGTCATTGGGGTCCTTTAACACAGGTGATAAAAGGGAGGACTGGACATGCTGCCCTGGGTAACGTTAAATCCTTTCTGGAATCAGGCACAGAACACACAAACCAACAAACAGCTCAGAACGCTCCAATCTGTGGATCAAGTTTCTGTCTCTCTCTCTATCTACCTGTTCATCCCTAACTCCAGAGCAAGTAAGGACCAGAAGGGACCACATTTCTCTATGCTAATGAAATTGATAAGTATGGGAACAAAGAGAAAAATATTTGTGCTATTTTTCTGCCTCTTTCTTTCAGTGGATTTTATGAACCACCAGTAATCACTCTCTTTGCTGCGTCAGCATCCCTTCTCTGAAACATCTCTGCTTTTTAAGGATCTGGTTGCTTTGGTTTTCTGAAAATTACTTTCATCCCCCTCCCCTCCTCAGTGATTGTAAAGATCCTTAAGTTATCCGATAAGGTCAGAAAAAGATAAAATAAGGGATTTGAGAAAACCAGACCTGTAGTACTCTCAAAATATTGTTCCGTTTTTAGGTTCTAGGAGCAAAGTTTTCGAGCTTTCATTTCCTTCCTTGCTCCTAGGAGTTACTTTGTGGCCATAGATTGATTTGGGACTGGAGAAGGCCCTCTGTTTTATCTAGGTTTTTAAAACCGTAGGCAACCTCGCTATTGGGCATTTTAGTCAGCTGCTTGCAAGCGTTGGTCTTTGTGTGAGGCTGGCACTGGCTATGTGCATCACCAGTTCAGTCAGCTTTTGACAAGCTGGGAGCTCTCAGTCAATGAAAAAATTTGGTTAAATTAGCTTTGAGGAATCCACCTTTCAGTATGGTAAGCCATACTGTTGAAATTCAGGCATGGGCATTATTTATACAAATATACTTAAAACAGGGAGGAAATTCTTTTTAAAAAGTGAAATGAATGTGTCCTGGAAACATCATTGTCACTCCAAGAAAAATTTTATCTTTGTTTTTGTTTTCAAGATGTTTCAGTTGCCAACGGAACAGCAGAACTGTTACACACGGAGCACATCTGGTATCCCCGGATACGCGAGGTAAAAGATGAGCATTGCCTGCTCGTGGCTTCTTTGTGTTTCCTCTCAGCTTCAGTGTTGGTTGTGCCCAGGAAATTGCAGTTGCTTGCACCAAGCCCTCCTTTTCTTTTCAGCTACTTGTTTATTTCTGTCGTTAAACATGTCATTAAATCTAGATGACATCACTGTGAAATAAGGCATGCAGAAATGCATTGTGCAGCCAGAAAGTATTGTTTCTCACTCTTTTTTTTTTTTTAACTCTTTTTATTGTTGGCACTGTTACAGATAGTCCCCTTCCCCCTTCTTCCCACTTCCACCCAACCCCTGCCCTGTAGTTTCTCACTTTTCATTTCCCTCCTCCCCTCCTGACGCACCCACAGACCTGCACACTCGCGCTCCCCACGCGTAACCAGCCGAGGGGCATGGCTCCTTTGGAAGGCGCTACAGAGGCTTGTCAACAGGCAGCAGAACTATTCATTCCAGCCAAAGTGTTTGCCTACATTTGTGAAAAGAATTAAAGGATAATTGTCTACACAGAGTCCTTGAACAGAGCAGGTCGTGGGAATCCTTAGACATGAACAGTGGCTGACAGTTTATCTAGATAAATTTAAAATCTATAAGATATTCACCATTAGTTCAGAGTCAGTCCAACCGTTTTGTACAATAAAAACATTCCTTCAGAATTTTTGTCAGTAACACTGTCTTTTACATGTCCTGCAAGGGCCCACTTTTTAAAGTCAAGAACTGCAGTGTCCCTTTGAAGCTAGTTTTGAATGTCTTGTGTCTTAAATGGGAATTATAAATTACGCCTGTCTCATTTATCAGTGGAAAAGGCAAGTTGGCTTCGCATTAGGTGCACATTTCTATCATATTCTTATTTCAGTCAAGTTATCCTTAAGCTTGCTAGGCCCCAGTCACACCCGTGAATTGGCACACTTACTGTAACTTGATGTGTTGCAGAATTACCAGTTACGATTGTAGGCGGCATTGCAGTTTGTGACATATAAGCAGCTTATTCTCATGTCTGTACCCTCTCTCATTCCAGATCCAGGGGGCCATCATCATGTCCTCACTGATAGAAGTGGTCATTGGCTTCCTGGGCCTGCCCGGCGCTCTGCTAAAATACATCGGGCCCCTGACCATTACACCCACCGTGGCCCTCATTGGCCTCTCTGGTTTCCAGGCGGCGGGAGAGAGAGCGGGGAAGCACTGGGGCATCGCCATGCTGTAAGTGTGCTGAGACCACTCGGCTGTGGACAGTAAAACTCCCTTCTTCCCACACCCAGGGCCAGCCCCTTGGAACACATTCGAACCTTAGAAGATAAGTTTTATTTTTTTCTTTTAAGTCAGAATAGTCTGACAGTTTAAATTTTATTTACTTTGTGCCAGAGAACTATTGACAGGGCTTTTAGAGCCAGAGGTTGGGAAGTGACTTGCGGTCAAGGCACGCCAAAGACAGACCTGGCAGCGATGCGTAGAGGAAGGGCTGCAGGGGCTCAAACTTTGGGAAAAGGGAGGATGGTGGTTCCATTAGCTCTTCACTTTTGAGGTCATGCCAGGTCTCCTGTGCATGAAATGAAATACCTAGAAACTGAATCTTTTAGATGAGACTCAAATATAACACCGAGCCTGGCAGGAGGCAATGCTGCAGGAGGCTTTCTTGGCATCAAAGGAGACATGGCTCTTCGGGCCACGGGGAGCTCTGCACGCCTGCGGGCGGCCAGAGTCCTGCTCGTCATTGCTGGTCTTTTTGCACAGAACGTTAAGCCTATTAAAAATGTCACCTACCCATTTAAGTAATGTCAGTAAAGACATCCAAGGCTTTGATAATAGTGTAAGACTGATTATTAATTAGAACCTCAGCATTCTGTATACTACAAACAGAACCCTCTTTCCCTTGTGTGTCTATAGAGCATATATGAGTTGACCATATAATAAGAAAATGGTTCAAAGACTGGAGTTTTACCAGCCGGTAGAATTTCTAAAACAAATTAGTAATACAAGAGGGTTTACAGTTGTTTTTTTATTGCTTTGTGAAATATTCTGCAATTATTCCGCAACAGGAAGTACTTATTGAGTCTGCATCAGTGCTGTACATAACATTGTACATACTGTAAATTAAAGTACGTATCAGTGTTGTCCCCACTCACAAAGCCAAGGCACAAAGATGCACAGTTAGCTCCCCAGGATCACACAGACAGAACTGGCTGGGATGGCTCTCAAAATCCAAATAGCCTGAGTAGAACTTAACCCATAATGTTTAATCCTGCCTCTCTGTTTTAGAACGTGGTGTACCAATACAGTGAATGCTTGCATAATTGTAACGCATATATCATTAAAAATGTATGTGAAAATACCTAGGATTATTCTTAATTTTCTCTTTTCACTGAAGGTTGGCCAATACACTCCACACCAGGTTTGGTGTGTAGAAGGTATATAAGAATGCTCATTCTCCCCAGCTGGTGTGACTCAGTGGATTGAGTGCCGGCCTGAGAATCAAAAGGTTGCTGGTTTGATTCCCCATATAGGGCACATGCCTGGGATGCAGGCCAGGTCCCCAGCGGGGGGCGTGTGGAATGCAACTACATATTGATATTTCTCTCCCTTTGTTTCTCCCTCTCTTCCCCTGTCTAAAAATAAATAAACAAAATCTTAAAAAAAAAAAAAAAGGAATGCTCATTCAGTGAAATACATCTAGTTCCAAAAAGGAGAAATTGTATTTAGCATCATACAGTTAATTTAGAAATCAATGACAAAAAAAGTGAACGAACCCCCCCAAATGGCCTAGAACCTTAAAAAAAACAAAAGTTACAAATAACTTGCAGTCAGAGGTATTTATAACTTATTTATTAAAACTTTAGAATTGCTGGTAGTTTTTTTGTTTGTTTGTTTTTTAAGAGAGGGAAAGGGGAGGAGAGGTTGGGAGAGAAACATCCATGTGTGAAAAAAATGTCTATTTGTTGCCTCTCGCACATCCCTACCCAGGGACCTGGCCTATAGCCCAGGCATGTGCCCTAACTGGAATCAAACCAGCCACCTTTCTGTCTGTGGGACAACACCCAAACCATGGAGCCACACCAGTCAGGGCAGGATTGCTGATCATTTAGAGAATGATGATTGTAATGGCACTGAGCACATTTTACAGAGCAGTCAGAGTTGTTCTTGAGAAGATTCATAACCTTAAAGGCAAATAAAGCACATGAAGAGAGCTATCTTCAGAAACTAGAGAAACAGGATAAAAATGAGCCTAGTGAACCTGGGGGAAAGAATTAATAAGGGCAGAAAAAATATGAAACACATAGAGGTGATAATTCTAAAAGGTGCTCGTTTGGAGAATAATGCATAGAGTCCTGACAAGGCTATTAGATGAGAAGGCCATGCACACACAGGTAAAGGGATAAGACCACAGATCCACAGAGGGTAAGTTCAATCGATGCTCCCTGCCCCTGAATTAAAAAAAATAAAATAAAATAAAATGGGTGGTTTTCCAGAAAAGTATAAATAAGCAAAATTAACTCCTCCTCACTGTAATGTGTAACTGCTGGGGCTCCTCAGAACTTGGTCCTGGGTCACCTTCTCTCCACGTGCTTTTCTCTCCTAGAGCATCTCGTCCCTGGCATCAGCAGACAGCTGTAATGTTGGGGACTTCCATGCAAACCTGTAGCCCAGACAGCTGAACACCAGACTTAGAGCTCCAACCCCTGCCTTGTCCTCTCCTTTTGCCGTTCCACTAAACATCTCAAACTTTAATGGAAAACAGTTCCAAAGATTTGATTCCCTGTTTGCTGCCTCAACCAGCTCCTTTTCCTTTTCTGCCACTTTTCAGTCAACGGCATGATCATGCACCTAATTGCTTAAACCAGAAACCCCACAGTAGTCCTTGATTGTTTGCTTTCCCTTGTTTCCCGTGGACAAACCATTCTTCTGTCCTACCTTCAGAACATCCGCTGGGTCTGTGCTTTGGGTGGTTAGAACCAGCGCCAGTGATTGCTTCTGAACTGGTCTTCAACTTCTCTTCTGCTTCCTTCCTCTCCATTTTCAGTGCTCTAAGATGCTTGGCTGTTATCTCTTCAAAGCCTCCTCTTCTACCTCTTCCTCTTATAACTCCAATGAGACACATGCTAGAATTCTAGAAGCTGCTAAGTCTTTTTGCTGTCATGTTGCCTGAAACATCAGCCCCATGCCCCTTGTTGTTTGTTTACACCTCATGCTGGATACTCAGAGCTTTTTAGCACTGGACTTTCAAGTTTTCAGAAGTGGGAAATGATCTTGAATTATTTCATAGATGCCTTTGTTCTTCCATTCCTGCTCATCTCTTTCTGGACTTCTCAAACTCTTCCTTTACTTATCTCTCCTGTTTTCCATCTTTCATCTTTTTTCTGTATTCATAGGAATTTTCCTCAGCTTTATCTTAAATCCTTCTGCCAAGCTTTTTATTTCTGCCCTCCTATTTGTTTAAAAGATTTTATTTATTTATCTTTAGAGTGAGAAAAAGGGAGGGAGAAAGAGAGGGAGAGAAACATCAATGTGTGGGAGATACATCGATCTTCTGCCTCGCACACCTGCAACTGAGGACCTGGCCCACAACCCAGGCATGTGCTCTGACTGGGAATTGAACCAACGACCTTTTGGTTCACAGGTTGGCACTCATTCCACTGAGCCACACCGGCCAGGGCCTGTCTTATAGTTTTTAATTGCCAAGAGCTCATCTTTTTACTTGGGGTGTTGGTTCAGTGAGGGCAGGCCTCAGCACCCCCAAGCACCTGGCTCACCATCCGTCACAGTAGGCAGTTAGTAAGCATGTTGTAACTAAGTGAGGGGAGGACCGGAGTCAGGGTTTGGGGCTGCGTACACCTATGACCAAGGGAAAAGACAAGAGTATTGTCAAAAGACTTTCATCTCTAAAAGAAGCCCTGGACTTCAGTGGTTAGACAGTGAGTGAGTGAATGCATCTTCAAGGAAGACAGAATTTCTGTACTTTTTAAACTGTTTTGGAGCTTTGGAAAAGAAGGGAAAGGTCTCAGTCAGCTTTATCTTAATGGCAAATATTGACAGAGCTAATGCAAAAGGGTGAGTGTGGTCAACTTTTTCCTTCCAGGAAATGTGGAAAACTCTGAGCTGAGTTCAGTTATGTTTAGGTAGCATACAAAGTTCAGCATCTTTCTCTACTGAAAGGCTCCTTGAACTCTTTTAAAACTCAAGTGTGCAGAAGACTTCCGAAAAGGACCTTTGTATCCAGTTCTTTACACACCTGTATTTTTAAGCTGTAAACATGGGAAGACTGTTCTTTGGAACATGGTTTGGAAAAAGGCTGCTACAATGCAATAAAATAACAATGAATTTTGTGTTATTTCAGGAGCTCAAAGATGGTTATTAGGAAATTTATTAATGAAATCCATTATGGGTCTCTGTGGATTTTATTAATAAAAACTGTGGCTTAAAAAAAAATGAAATTCAACCATATATCCATGCCACAAACTCTTAGCAACATGGGAATAGAAAAAGCTTTTATGAGTAAGATTTTAATGAAAATGCCTCATTCTCTAATTGTAAAAGAATTAAATCAGGCCTGCCTATTCTAATCAGAAACCAAGGTAAACATGTTAATTAATACCAGTATCACTTAAAGTTACCTGAACGTGTTAACCAATGCCCAAGACAAGAAAATAAAGTAATTTGGAACAATACCAGAAGGGTCAGGGAGAAATTAAGTTACAATCGAGAGCTTAATAGCAATACTGTGGTCCTGGGACAGGAATGACTTTGGTAGAGTAGCACAGGAGGGATAGAAATAGCAGCAAGAAAAATTCATATTTAACATGTGATATATGAAATCAGTGGGAAATGGAAGAATTCTGTAGGAAAAATTAGATAATTATTTGCAAAAAGTTAGATTCCTAGTTTATAACAGATTATATTTCAGTTAAGACAGTGTAGAAAATAAAACTATGAAAAGCATTAGGAGAAAGCCTACATAAACATTTAATCATAAGACAGGAAAGACCTTGCCGTGGCCAGGCAACTCAGTTGCTTGGAATATCATCCCTTACACCAAAGAGGTTGGTTCGATCCTCGGTCAGGGCACACATGAAGGGAGGACCCCAAAAATAGCATTTATTTATAAAAAATTGTGTATTCTTACATGCTTAAACTTCAGTCCTCTGCAAAGTACTGTCCATTTGATGTAATACACCTATCGAGACTTTTTTCCATTGCACACAATTTTT